ACAAGACCGTTCTCTATATCGTCTTGTAGATGAAAGTTCATCAGACGGTGATGATGATGTTGTACAAAACACCCCTTGACTTTTATATACTTTGAACTAGACAAATAGAACCAGTTTTGAACTAGTTGTAATTAGTTTTAACTTGGTTTTGGATTTTTATGTTCAATTGAACTTTAATTTGTTAGTTTTAAAGTATTTATTGAATGTTTTAGTTGTTGTTGTTGTGTTGTTGTTGTTGTTGTGTTGTTGTTGTTGTGTTGTTGTTGTTGTTGTGTTTTTTGTTGTTGTTGTTGTTGTTGTTGTTGTTGTTGTTGTGTTGTTGTTGTTGTTATTGTGTTGTTATATTGGTATGCTTGCAGGTGGTTTAGCTGCCAAAACAGGCATTTTATGCCAAAATTAAACCCAGAAAAACCGACCAAAGTTGGTCGATTTTTAATAAAAAATAAATAAATTATTCCAAAATACCGACCAAAGTTGGTCGGTTAATGAACATTGAATTCCCAGAATTCAATACTACCGTCCAACTTTGGTCGGTATTTTGCTTGCATTGTTGAGATTACCGACCATAGTTGGTCGGTAATGTTTAATTTTAATTATTTTTAAAAAATATATATTTTCAATTACCGACCAAAGTTGGTCGGTTCTTTTTAATTTTAATAATTATTCAAAAAACATAATTTAGTTAAACCAACCAACTTTGGTCGGTAAAATTAAATTAATAAAATATGTTTCCGACCAAAGTTGGTCGGTAAGTAATTAAACTTGTCAGATGGTCGTTTTAATATACCGACCAAAGTTGGTCGGTAATTTCCGACCAACTTTGGTCGGTAAGCCATTCCGACCATCAAAACACCGTCCACACCGTAATGGTCGCGTTTTGGTCGGTAATTTGCCATAACCGACCAACGTTGGTCGGTATTTTTGGTCGGTTTTTAGCGAATTTCTAGTAGTATACATGCTTCCTGATCATCAAATATATTAAGAAGAAGCATATCATCCTACGTTCGAGAAATACGCCGCTAAGGCCCTCAAATTACGGATAACAAATCAGAGAGAAGAATCAAGGGATAAACAGAGTTGTAACCCGCAATGTTTATCAATAAAATCTTTTTTTCTTTATAGTTGTTTGTGATTGCAGATTTATTTTTGTAGAGAAAGGGGTCACTTAGTTTGTATATAGAGCAGGGGCATTTTAGTCTATTTATCAGTAGAGTTGTTAGTAGATTGTTAGAGGCGGTTAGTTAGTTCAAATAGTAACTAATTGTATAAATACAGAGTTGTAGCCCATTGTTTCATTGAATGAAAAAGATACATATATTCTTCTTCCTTCCTCATATCATTTCTTCTCTTGTCTTAGCTAGGGTTCTTCATCTCAGGTCTGCTAATTCAGCATGGTATCAGAGCCTTAAGGCTAGTGATTTTAGTCCTCATCGATTCAAGCTGAAATTGCATGTGTTGAGCAGTTAGATTTGTGATTGAAAAATTCGCCATAGACAATCTCGCCATAATTGTTGTCGAAGCACAACTAAGAAGCCATGGAAGATACTGCTCATGCGAACATATCTGTCACTGAAGCGGGTAGAACTGCTGACGCTGTGGACGAAAATCAAACTGGCGATGATTTTTTGGTTGATTTACCTCACAGTCACCCTCTGTACCTTGGACCAGCAGATACGAGTGGAGCTCATCTCATTTCGTTTCAATTAACATGTACTGATAACTATACTCTTTGGGATCGATCAATGAAAATTACTCTACGAGGAAGAAACAAGCTAGGTATTGTAGAAGGAAAGTGGAAAAATGAAATGTTTCATGATAATCTGTGGGAACAGTGGGAGAGATGTAATGCTATTGTACTCTCCTGGTTGATGAATCTTGTAGCTCCTCAACTTATTGGAGGAGTTGTGTTTGGATCAAGTGCACATGCAGTGTGGGAAGATCTCCGAGAGAGATTCAGCAAGGTAGATGGATCTAGGTCGTACAATTTGCACAAGGAGATTGCGACTCTGTATCAAGGTACCTTTTCAGTCTCTGTGTACTATACAAAATAAAAGGATCTGTGGGATGAATACGAAATTCTACTACCTACACCTAGTTGTGATTGTGAAAAATCTAAAGACTATGTAGTACACATGAGAAGGCAAAAGTTGTATCAATTTCTAATGGGCCTGAATGAGTCATACTCTCTAGCAAGGAGTCAGATACTACTAATTCATACTTTACCCTCAGTGAATCAAGCATACTCTATAATCATGAGAGATGAGAGCCAAAAATCAGTAGTTGCTATAGTGGGAAACTTAGGCACAACTACTATCACTTCTGAGAACTTTGAGCCTACTGCTTTGCTTAGTTCTATATGTGGAAGCTCTTAAAGCAACAGTTTTCAAACTAGTGGTCCTAATGTGCAGTCTGGCAACTTTTATCCTAATAGCTATCCAAGACCAAGGAAAGGCTATGGTGAGTTTTGTGAGTATTGTAGGAAGAAGGGTCATAGCAAAGAAAATTGCTACAAGATCATTGGTTATCCACAAGGACCTAAATCCAAGAAGAAAGGGGGAGCAGTCAATTCCTCTGCTTACAGTGTCTTCATTGAAGAAACAGATCAAAAGTGGCAGGCATAACCACAATTCATGATGCAGACTCAACAAGGACAAAGTTCACAGATGCAGGCTCAACCACAATTGATGATGCATACTACAGGACTTCATAACAGTGGGCAGGGGAAACAAACATCTCAAACTCCTGCTTATTCATTTACTAAGGAACAGTATGATCAAATAGTGCAGATGCTAAACAAAGTTACTGGAACCATTCCCTCAGCAAATATGGCACCTATCAGTAGTGCATGTTTAGTGGATAATAAAGCTCATGGCTGGATTATTGATACAGGAGCTACCAACCACATGGTGTCTGATCCTAATCTGTTATCTAAGGCAGAAGAAATCAAACCTAGTAATTCTAAGCAAGTTCATCTACCTAATGGAGAAGTAGCTAATATTACACACATTGGTACTAGTATACTTTCAGCATGGAGCACAATAGAAAATGTGTTATACATACCTCAATTCAGATATAATCTATTATCAGAGTCAAAACTAACTAAGGCTCTATGGTGTTTTGTTGCCTTTTTTCTTGATTTTTGTGTTTTTCAGGATCTTTACAGTGGAATAGTGATAGCGATTGGTATAGAAACAGGTAGTCTTTACATTCTAGCACCACATGTAGCTAAAATACAAGGAGCAAGGAGCATGGTTGTCAAAGAAGCTGAAGCAAAGAATCTGCAGAGTGTAGCACAGAAAGAAGAAGTAGATGTTGAGCTGTGGCATAAGAGGTTGGGGTATGCGTCAAGTGGAGTACTTCAAAAGTTATTTTCAATAAATCTAGACAATTGTATGTCTACTACAAATAAGTGCCATGTGTGCCCACTTGCTAAACATACTAGACTTCCATTTCCTAGTAGCAGTATCAGAACTACTCAATGTTTTGAACTAGTACATGCTGATGTATGGGGACCATATAGAGTTCCAACTTTTGATGGAAATAAGTACTATCTAACTCTGGTACATAACTTCTCAAGAATGACTTGGTTGTTTCTTTTAAATCTTAAATCAGATGTTTGTGTTGTGTTGAAACAATTTTTGTATTATGTAAGGACTCAGTTTGACAAAGTAGTTAAAATTATCAGAACTGATAATGGAACAGAATTTGTGAACTCAACCTGCACAGAATTGTTTCAAGCACTTGGAGTGATGCATCAGAGAACATGTGCTTATACTCCCCAATATAATGGAGTAGCTGAGAGCAAGTATAGACATATCCTAGAGGTTGCTAGAGCTATGAGGTTCCAAACACATATTCCTCTAAAGTAATGGGGTCATTGTATTCTAGCTGCAATTTATGTCATAAACAGGATGCCTTCTACAGTCATGAATGGTGCATCACCTTTTGAGAAGATGTATAATAGAAAACCTTTACTAGATCATCTTAGAGTGATGGGATGTCTGTGTTATGCCAAAGATGTACAGGTCCATGACAAGTTTATGCCAAGAGCAATCCCTGCAGTGTTGATGGGATATTCATCAGTTCAGAAAGGCTACGTACTCTTAAATTTGACTAACAACTGTTTCTTTGTTAACAAGGATGCTGCCTTCAAAGAAAATGTCTTTCCATTCAGAAATCAACATACTTTGCATTCTCTTATTTTCTTGCCACCTGATATCTCAACCTATGATCCATCACCTGGAACCAACTCTGGGTACAACACAGTGGTTAACCATGAAGAACTAGAGCCTTTTATTGATCATGGAGTATAAATTATTCCCAATGAGGATACTGATCTTCCTATGGTAGGTGATCTGGAAGATGAATCAGGACATAGTCCTGCTCAGGAGCAAGCATCTGTACCTACACCTGCACAGTTACATGGGCATCAATCCCTACAACCTACTGGCAGTAGAAGATCTACCAGAGATAGGACTCCACCTATCTGGATAAAGGACTTTGTCTCTCTAAACATTCATCAAAATGTTCCTTATAGCATAGCCAACTATGTAGATTACAACGGTGTTTCCCTTAAATACCAAGCATATCTTGCAGCCTTCTCTTCCATTGTTGAACCTTCTTCCTTTGCTGAGGCCAGACAAGACCCTAGGTGGGTAGAAGCCATGCAGTCAGAGATTGAGGCACTGGAGAGTAACAACACATGGGGGTAGTACCACTTCCTAAAGGCAAGAGTCCTATTGGATGCAAATGGGTGTATAAAGTCAAGTATAAAGATTCCGGAGAGGTGAAAAGATTCAAGGCCACTCTAGTGGCTAAGGTATACTCACGGAAAGAAGGGATTGACTACAAGTAAACCTTCTCTCCTGTAGTCAATATGGTAACTGTGAGGACAATCCTATCTGTTGCTGCTGCTAAGAGGTGGCACATTCATCAAATGGATGTGTATAATGTATTTTTGCAAGGTGATCTATTTGATGAGATCTATATGGAGTTTACACCAGGATTTAAGAGCCAGGGGATTAACATACAATGTGTAGGCTCATCAAATCCTTGTATGGACTTAAACAAGCTCCAAGACAGTGGAATGAGAAGCTTACTAAAGCATTATGCGCATTTGATTTCTCTCAGAGCCAATATGATCACTCCTTATTTGTCAAAAAGCTACTAGAAGGAGGCACTATTATTGTCCTTGTGTATGTAGATGATATGCTAGTAACTGGTACTAGCTTGTAACTGATAGAAGAAATAAAGATAGCTTTACATCAAACCTTTAAGATGAAGGACTTGAGAGAGCTAAAGTATTGTTTGGGATAGAATTTGCAAGGTCTGAGAAAGGAATTCTAATGCATCAGAGAAAGTATGCATTAAAACTTATCTCAAAACTCGGACTTGGAGCAGCTAAGCCAACCATAACACCATTGGAGATGAATGTGAAGCTGACTACAAAGGAGTATGATGATCATTTGAATACTCAAGAGAGTGTAGGAGATGAACTGTTGAATGATCCACGAGCTTACCAAAGATTAATTGGGAAGTTGTTGTACTTAACAGTAACAAGGCCTGATCTAGCATTCAGTGTACAAACTTTGAGTCAGTTTCTACAACAACCAAAAAGGTCTCACATGGAGGCAGCCATGCGGATAGTCGGGTATGTGAAAAATCATCTTGGGCAAGGAGTGCTCTTGTCAAGCAATAACAAAGGCACACTAGAAGCCTGTTGTGATGCAGACTGGGCTGTTTGTCAGCACTCTAGGAAGTCAGTAACAGGTTTTTAATAAAGTTAGGGGATTCTTTGGTGTCCTGGAAGTCCAAGAACAAGCCAATGTGTCTAGAAGTTCAGCAGAGGCAGAATATAGAAGCTTAGCAGCTACAGTTGCAGAGTTAGTGTGGCTAACTAGATTAATAAAAGAGATTGGATTTAAAGTTCAACTACTTGTTGATATCTACTATGATAGCAAGGCAGCAGTGCAAATAGCTGCAAATCCTGTATTTCATGAAAGGACCATTGACATATATTGTCATTTCATAAGGGAGAAAATTTTGTTGGGATTGGTTAACACCAGTTATGTAGGAACAAGGGAGCATGTGGCTGATTTGCTGACAAAAGGCTTAAACAAGGTTCAGCATGAATACTTAAGTACCAAGCTAGGGGTGTTTGATGTCTTTACACCACCTAGCTTGAGTGGAAGTGTAGAGAAAGGGGTCACTTAGTTTGTATATAGAGCAGGGGTATTTTAGTCTATTTATCAGTAGAGTTGTTAGTAGATTGTTAGAGGCAGTTAGTTAGTTCTAATAGTAATTAATTGTATAAATAGAGAGTTGTAGCCCATTGTTTCATTGAATGAAAAAGATACATATCTTCTTCTTCCTTCCTCATTTCATTTCGTCTCTTGTCTTAGCTAGGGTTCTTCATCTCAGGTCTGTTAATTCAGCAATTTTTCTGCACAAATTTGTTGCAAACAAAGAGTATAACATCAACAAGATAATTTTTTGCAAATTTGGTATTTGGAAACCACTAGTTGACTAATCTAAATTCGTATCTCCTAAAACTCATTAAAGGAGAAGCACTCCTTATCGAGATTTTTTTCATTCTCCGAGCTCGAACTCAGATTTTTAGTTAAAGATTGAGAGAGGATTTTTTTTAATTCACATTAATTCAACGAACCTTCTACACCAAACTCAGTTCAATAAAATTAACTCATCGTATATTTCCACCCCAATAAAGTTTTCTATAATTAAGAAAAGAGAGAGAGAGATCATTGAAAAAGAAACTCATTATGTGAAGCCCATTGAAGAAGACACTACTAGAAATCCGGTAAAAACCGACCAAAAAAAACGACCAACGTTGGTCGGTAATGACAAAAAACCGACCAAAACATGACCATTTACGTGTGGACGGTATTTTTGTGATCGGAAAGGAATATCGACCAAAGTTGGTCGGAAATTACCGACCAACTTTGGTCGGTCAATTAAATTCGAAAAAAAAATATTGCAAAAAAAAACCGATCAAAGTTGGTCGGTTTTTTCCGACCAAAGTTGGTCGGTATTTTAGTTATATAATAAAAAGAGTCACCATCTGGGAATCAAACTGCGGTCTCCACTGTGGCAGGATACTATTCTACCACTAGACCATTGGTACATTTTGTTTTAATACTGTCTTTTATTTGATTTATACTCTTTAATTGTATTTTCACACGAAAATAACCGACCAAAGTTGGTCGGTTTTATTAAAAAGTAAAATTACCGACCAAAGTTGGTCGGTTTTTTTAAATGACCCGCCGAATTAACCGACCAATTTTGGTCGGTTTTTTTAATATTAATTTTTATTTATTTTAATTGAAAAACCGACCAAAGTTGGTCGGTTTCTTGAAACATAAATTTTGCGGGACTCAAAAATAGTTTTCCGTATTTTTGCGCTAAAGAAAACCGACCAAAGTTGGTCGATTTCGTAAAAAAAAAAATGAAAAATCGACCAACTTTGGTCGGTTTTTTGACCGACCAACTAAAAATCGACCTTGGTCGTTTTTTGCCGAATTTCTAGCAGTGAGAAGCAATCTCTATCATGATTTTTTCTATTTCCAGTACTTAAACTGGAGACCCCTAGTTAATTCATATTCCTTGCTTGAACCGTCTACACCGAACACAGTTCATAAAAATTAACTCATCCCATATTCTCACCTCAATAAGTTTTTCTATTGATTAGAAAGCGAGGAAGACACATTATTGGTTAAGTTTTAATGACTTTCATGCTCAAGACAGAGAATCCAAAATGAAAAAAGGAGTAGACATTCTAATTAAGAACATATGTAAATCCTAAAAATCAGCACAGGTATATATTGTGAAGCTGGAACAAGTAATTACGTCTATGCTTGAATTTATTATTTAGGACGATAATAAAACGTAGTACGTACGTAGTATATATCTACCTATTTATGTACACTGATTCTGAAGTCTCTGAACTCTTGATGCTGACGCCGAGGAAAATCATCTTTATGTCCACCTTCATCAAAATTCTGTGAGTAACTAACAGCATCATACTGAAACTTCAGTGTCTTCTTCCCATAGTACACATTCTTGCTTTCATTCACCAACTTCTTCAACATCTTTCTCCATAATTTCGCCCGATTCCAGCTACCTCCTCCCCGTTGACACGTGTTCATTCGCGAGTACTCGTCGTGTACCGGAATGCAAGACGGCGACATACAACCGTACAAGCTCTGAGACGCCGGTCGCCGGTAATTGGTATCGGTTCCCATGAATGCAAAATATGGGCGTATTGTATTGGCAAAGATAGTGTGTTTGTTTTTGTAGTGAGATTTTATTGGGAAGTTTGTTCCGTTTCTCTCTCCTATAATTTTGATTTGAAGTGTATAACGGGCAGAATGGAATATAGCAAAAATGTCTATCCTTTCTGTACCACTTTTATGTGTGGGCAAGTAATACATTTGGTAAGATTGCAAAAAATAAAGTTACATTCGCTAGTTAAATATACAAAAAAAAAAAAAAAA